GGTTCTTCATTATACTCCACCAGTATGTTGCAAAATAATTAATGCTTGTGCTGTGCTTCACAATCTGTGCATCGAGCATAATGTACCCGAACCAAATGAACCACTTGATGCTGAAGTGGACATTGGTGTCGCTGACAATGGAATTGAAGAAAATGAAGAGATACAAAATCAAAATATTTGTAGAAGAATAAACCCTGACCTAGCAGATGGCAAAAGAAAAAGACTAGAAATCGCTAGACGTTTTATGCGGCGAACTTAAATTATTACATCATTTTGCTTCTTCACGTCTATATTTATTTTAGTTTGATGTTAAGTTTAGGTTAATAAAAAGGCTCTTGTTATTTCGTTATAAGTTAGTGTTATGGTATTAAATACTCCATAAACTATATAACTCATTTATTTAACTAACAAATCTTAATATTCTTGATTACAGTTCTGTACAATGCTCTCTATCTCTAACTTAAAACTTCTTCTCCCCACCATCTCGTGACACGTACGCCACCCACACTACATCTCTGTGTGGCATCAAATCTATTCCTATGACATCCCCCTTTCTATATAAAAAAATAACTACAACTACTTATATCTATTTACAATTTATACATAGTAGTCGCGAAACCTTAATGGTGCTCGCCTGTTCCGCTGAGGTCTTTGGTTGACCTTGGGTTGCGCTATGGTTGCTTGAGGACTATTACTCACGGTTTCAGTTTCAGGTACATGAGCTGGAACCGATTGCGTGTCCTCCCAAACTAAATTGTCTTCTAGCAGTTGGTCAAATAGCCTGTTTTGATCACCTGCTTGTACATTAGTTTGAAAAGTGTTCCTATCTACCCGTTTTAAATACTTTCTATTTCGGACTAATACATTGCCATTACTACGAAATTTAACATGGTACGCTCTTGGCCTGTAACTATCTTGTTTTATAATCTCACCAGGCTCCCACCGCTTGGTAACTGGATCCTGCACCACCACCTTATCACCACATTTTAATTCTGACATTGCTTTCTTGGACTTGTTGTAATAGTATTTCTGAGTTTGTTTCTGACTGCAAAGATTTTGATGGTGTTGCTTTATACTATGTTTGGGTATTAGGAGTGACTGTTTAATAGGTACTAATCCTTTGATTTTACGACCAAACAACAATTCTGCTGGGGATGGTAAATGATTGCTAATTGGTGTGTTCCTGTATTCTAGTAGCGTTAGATAAAGATCTTTACCATCATGCAAATTTTTTAAAAATAACTTCTTTATTGTTTGTATGTGCCTTTCAACTAGCCCGTTAGATTGTGGATATTTGGGCGAACTTGTCTTGTGCAAAATTTCCCAATCTTTTAAAAATTTCTGAAAATGGTTGTTAATAAACTGTGAGCCATTATCCGAAAACAAAATGTCTGGCTTCCCATGTCTAGCAAAAATTGACTTGACTTCATTAATTACACGCTTAGATGTAGTATTTCTTTGCATGCATATGACTTCCGGGTATTTTGTAAATTCATCTACAACTAATAAGTAATCTTCGTTATCAAAATAGAACATGTCAGCTGAAACATTCTGCCATGGTCTGGTTGGCACACTTTTTTCCCACAGTGTTTCTCTCTGATTCGATTTACTGTATTTGAGACATGCAGAACAATTTTTTATTTTGTCAGTTATTTGTGTGATCATTAATGGCCAATACACTAATTCACGAGCTTTATTACATGTTTTTTCTATTCCTAAATGCACATAATGCAGTTTCTCAATAATTTCTTTACGCATGGATTTAGGAATCACGATCTGATCATTCTTAAATATTAAATCCGTCATTACTGTTAATTCGTGTCGAAACTTATAGTATGGTTTAATTACATCCGGTATTTTTCCTTTCCCTGTCGGCCATCCGTCTATAATGAATTCTTTCAGTATTTGTAACTCAAAATCTTTGGCTGTTTCATTTCGCAACGTTTCAAACTTCTCTGGGCTAATTTCCGCATATTTAATAAAGTTGACTTGTAACTCTACGTTATTTTCTATGACTTCAAAATTCTTATCATCATAATGGGTTCTAGACAGTGTGTCTGCAAAGTATAATTTAGCACCAGACTTATATTTTACAACTAGATCGTACATTTGCAAAGTTATTCTCAATCTTTGGATTCTTAGAGGACATTTATTTAGTGGTTTTTTGAAAATCGTTTCTAGTGGTCTATGATCGCTTTCTACCACAAAAGATTTCCCATATAGATATTGGTGGAACCTTTGACATCCAAAGGCTATTGCCAATGTTTCTTTTTCTATTTGGGCATAGTTTTGCTGAGTTTCATTTAAGGACTTGGAAGCATAAGCGATTGGAGATCCATCCTGTAATATTACTGCCCCTAATCCATCTTTACTGCTATCTACTGACAGTACAATCTCTTTTTTATTATCATAAAATTGTAATACTGGAGTACTAGTTAGGATATCTTTCAAACTATTAAAATCTTGTTCATGCGTCTCATTCCAATCAAAATGGGTATCCTTTCTAAGCAATTGACGTAAATTACTAGTTTTTTGAGTCAAATTCGGAATGAATTTCGCGACATAGGTTATCATACCTAAAAATCGAGACAATTCTTTACAATTTTTCGGAGGTTTTATTTGTTTAATTGCTTCTGTTTTACTCGGATCAACTCTGATTCCATCTCGACTAAGTATGTGTCCCACATATTTTATTTCTTTCTGATTAAATTTACTCTTACTTTTGTTAAATTTAACTCCAAACTCTCTAGCTCTTTCTAAAACTAACTTGAGAATTTTATCATGTTCCCTTTCATCTTTAGCATATAAAATTATATCATCAATGTAGATTTTAATATTGGGTATACCCTGAAAAATTTCCGTGAACGTGCGGTGAAATATCTCTGGAGCGTTGGATATTCCATAGGGAAGACGTAAAAATTTAAACCTGCCAAATGGGGTTGCAAATGTTGTCAATTTAGATGCTTGTTCAGTCAAAGTGATTTGCCAAAATCCTTTGTTTGCATCTAGAGTTGAAAATATTTTTGAACCTGACATATCACTTGTAACTTCTTCAAATGTCGGTATTTCATAGTGCTCTCTGGCCAACGCATTGTTAAGATTTTGTGGATCTAGACAAATACGAACTTCGTTGTCTGGCTTATTTACAAGTACAATAGGATGAACATATTCAGTCGGTTCACGAACTTCCACAATTACTTCGTCTTTGATCATTCTCTTTAATGTATTTTCTAGCTTATCCATGAGTCTAAAAGGTACTTTCCTGCAAGGTACTATTTTCGGCTCATAATTACTTTTTAATGTGAAATCGCATGGGTTCTTTTTAATTTGACCTAAACCCTCAAACACGTCACTATATTCTGACAATAATACCGATTTATTAACTTCCACGTTATTTACAGTCGAATGTGTTTGTATTCTTTTAACTAAATTAAGCTCAATGAGTGCTGAAAGCCCTAAAATTGCACTTGACTTTGTTTCTACTACTACAAATTCAAGAGTGTAGCTTTGACCCTGGTGAACAATTGTCAGATTACAAGATCCAAATACCTGTAGTGGAAACCCGTCATAATTATTTATGCTAACATTCACTTTACTCAGTGGACAATTTATGTTATTTCTATCAAACAAATATTTCGGTATTACATTTACCTGAGCACCAGTATCAAGTTTAAAGTTAATTTCACAGTCAAATTCTTTAATACCAAGCTTTTGATACCAGTCTCTAGGTTTTTGATACTGCTCCTGTAAAGAATCAATTACATAACTGTAAGAACTAGCAGTTTTAGAATTATCTACTACATGCACACTCCTATGTACCGAGTTTGCTGTGTCTCCCATTTTAGACTTGCACATCCGCGCAAAATGACCTGTTTTATTGCACTTTTTACACTGTTTACCTGAGGCTGGGCATTCCTCACGACGTGGTTGGTGTTGGCGACCACATCGATAACAGTCCACAGTTGTCCTATTTCCATTCTGATGCTCCTTTTTACCCTGGTAGCTGACCCGTTGATGTCCCCATTGGATTTGACCTTTCCTTGAATTTCCTAAATTTCCCCATTCTTGTTTTGTTGCAGACGGTGTTTTTCTATTTACTTTCACCTCTTCCACCATTTTTTGTGGAGTTTCTGACATCTTCTTCATATGTTGTTCCGTTACTTCTGCTGCTCTACCAATTTCAATAGCTTTTCCAAGAGTCAGATTCTTCTCCCTTAGCAGTCTGTCTTTTACTCTTGCATCTGTGACTCCACACACTATCCTATCTCGCAGCATTTCCTGCTTAAATTCTCCAAATGCACAGTCTGCAGCTATTCTTTTTAGATCTGTTACAAACGTATCAAATGGTTCTTCCTTTTCCTGTACTCTGTTATAAAATTTATTTCTCTCGACACTCGGGTTTACTTTTGGCACAAAATACTCCTCAAATTTGGCTATAACCTTCTTTATGTCCTTTCGCTCGTCGTCCTCTTCAAATTCGAACGTCTCAAAAATCTCTCGTGCCTCTTCGCCTACAATATGTAAAAAAGTGGCTACTGCAACTGAGTCACCTTTTGCGTAACATCCGGTGGCTTCCGCATATATTTCGAAATTGCTTCTAAATCTCTTCCAATTTGCAGGAATGTTCCCCTCAAATTTCATAGCCTGTGGTTGCTTCAAAAACTCCATTTTGTCAATGCCTTTTTTTCACGTGTTCTGTGCTGCTTAACCTCAATCTTTCCACGCGCTTTCCTTTCTTCCCTGGATTACTTGCTTGGGCGGGCTTACTTGTTCCCTTTATTCACCCACACTATTTTGATTTCTGACTGCGCCATGTTATGGTATTAAATACTCCATAAACTATATAACTCATTTATTTAACTAACAAATCTTAATATTCTTGATTACAGTTCTGTACAATGCTCTCTATCTCTAACTTAAAACTTCTTCTCCCCACCATCTCGTGACACGTACGCCACCCACACTACATCTCTGTGTGGCATCAAATCTATTCCTATGACAGTTAGATTTATTAATTTATTGATAGGAAACAAGGCAGTAACAAAAAAACACAATAACTAAACAATATTTCAACATTAAAACCTATTTTGGGACAAATTTGTCAAAGCATGTGCTATCTTTTCTATAGCTTCCACCTTTCTTACTTCTAAATCATGCCGCTTGTTTAAACATTCAATTTTCATTTTATAATAAGCTTCTTTCATTGTTAATTTCTTAACCAAATTCTCATTGTATGCTTGTGTTGCACTTGCGGAATTCATTAACTGTGTTACCCGTTTTGGAATTTTTTTCAATTTTTTATTGCTTGAAACGGATTTCGATACAAAAGATACAGTTTCGTTGATGGAATCTGTTGGTGGAGAAGTAGAAGTTGAAGGTTCGTCCAAGCCTGCCGCCCATGGAATTTCTTCATCCGCTTCTAAAACCATCTCAGCAGACGAGGTAGCAGCCGAATGGTGAAACGACACATCCGACTCCATAATTTCATTGTGCCCTTCTATTGACACGGGCTTAATAATTTGGAGGATATCCTCTTCAATGCTGGAGAAGGCTTGACTCTGACTGGGACCACCACCTGTTTTTCTGAACTCTTTTTTATTAGCTCCTTCTTTACATTTTGTCCTGGATTCTAAATCGTGCCAGCATTTTCGCCAACCTTGTCCATTTTTATGGGCACCAGAAATGGCATTCAATAATTCGGCAATATGGTCCCATTCATTTTGCCCATCTCTGTATGTATACTTGCTGGAATGTTTTCCACTTATTAACTCCTCCCGAGATTTTACACACTCTACCAACATCTTCACTTGTTTTTCGGAGCATTTTGCTCCCCTTTTATTATTCTGTTTATCCATTTATATTTATTAAACACGATACAAATAATTAAAAAAAATTATTGAATTGTCACTCCTATGTGTCACCTCTTGTGGTTCCTAGGACACGGGTAAAATTTAAACATTTTTACAATGTTGTCAATGTTTGCTCTGCGCTAAACAGCGAATGTTCGTTACGGCGTAACGAATATTCTCCAGAATAGATTTTTTGTAAAGTGTTCGCTATATTTTAATCGCTATATAACGTATGCGGTATTTAACGCATAAAGTCAAGAATAGCACCCCAGGTTCTGTACATGATAGTAGAATTGTTATGCCGTTGCTCCTTGGTTGATAACTCCATACAGAAACCCAAGAAACCAGGTTGAAATACACTTTAATAACATCCACAAAAGAAATAAGAGTGATTATCGAAAGATGTTTCGGTCAAGTAAAAAAACGATTTCCAATTTTGGTGAATGACATTAGGGTTAGTTTGTCTAGAATACCAAAATTAGTAGTTTCTTGTTTTGTTCTGTAAAACGGTTTCTAAATTTTTAAATGATATAAACGATTTTCCTGATATTACTCTTGAAGAAGATGATGAAATTGTAGACCACGAAAACCACAATCAAATTCAAGGAATCCAACGCAGAAATGAATTGGCTCAAATTTTGTATACCCAAAGATAAAAGACATCTTTTTACTTACATATTTATTTTATTAAAACAGAAAAACAACAGAAAAAACTCTTCTAACTATGTACAAAATTATTCCCTTTCTCTTTTATTTTCAATTTCGTTATGCTGCATTTTTATTAATTTTAACTGTTCCAATAGCACTAGCCTTTGTAACTCGGTAAACGATAAACCTCTAGTTTCATCCGTTTCTGCGACTAGTTCTGTTGATGAACATTTCTTTTTGGTGGCAGTGGCAAAGTAGTTCTGTGGACGGAATTTAGTTCCACTACCTCCACTTCTTTCGAAGTTCCGGCTGCTATGGCACCTGATAACGGTATTGTTATAAATTTTTGCACACATCATCTAAGTAATAACGTCAATAAAACGCTAACACTGGAATTCGATAAACCGTGGGATTTTTTATTACTGCCGTTTATTAATTTTAATAAGGTTTCCTCCCAGAATTTAACCACGATTTTTTTATTTCCGGTCCTACTCATATCTGTTTTCTTTTTTATTTCCGCCTTCATATTGTTAATTTTTTAATATTTTTTCTTGGGTGAGTTGTTCCCCAAAATTCTTTAGGTAAGCGTCTGAAAATTCATTTTTTGTACGACCATTGCTTTTTCGATCATTTACCGTATAGGTTTCCATAGCAGTAAGTTCCGTTTACGGGTTGCTACGACTAACAACTAAGAGGCGAACGGTAAGTAAATTACTTCAATCATGCATTCAAGATTTTTTTTATTTTAAATTCCATGCGTGTTCAACTTCGACATTTTCGCTTTTAGAATCACTCATGATTGATAATCACTCGCGGTCAAAATGGAAACTGATTTTTAAAATTGTTGTTTATATTAATCGAAACCATAGTAACAAATTTTAAATTAAAAAACGACCTTGTTGATGTTTGATATAAATTCTTTCAATTTATGAATTTGATAAAAAGACGCAAATCTTTTGATGGTCGTACAAAAAATAGTATAAGCATCACGAACGTTAAGGGGGTTTACTGGTCTCAGAGAGTCGCTTCGCTCCGTCTCCAAACTTTTGCCTTCGACCAGTAAACACCCCTTACCGTTCTTAATACTTAATATACTATAAAGTTTCCTTCTTTTGCACTCTTATCGCTCGAGTTCGCAACTTAGGCGGTAATTCACGAATGTTGCTTTGCAAATACTTATCGGGCCTGCAATTTCCAGGCTACTTACAATAAGGTATCGGGGTTCTCGATAAACGAATTCACGAAAAAATTGCAACGTTCAGGCACGGTTTCGGAATAATTATCCCAGCTTGCAGATCGAGCAGCAACTGATAAACATTTAGGGGGGAATTCATTTGCAAACAACTTATAAGCGGATACCGACATTTCGATAAAGTAATTCACGAAACAATTGCAACTTACCAGCAAGCTTTACGGACCTTATCATACCGATTACTGTATATCCATGCAAACCAGATAAATAAAATTTCAAACAACGACAAAGTTATGACGGTTATACAGTGCCAAATGCAATAAATTATAAAAAAAATGGGTCATGGAGTGAAAAAAGACGGCGAAAGGAGAAAATGGAACCCGAATTTTACGTCCCCAGAAATAGTAATTGAAATATTTGCTGAAGTAGAGGCTTGGAAAACGTATCTATTCGGTGAGCTCAAGGGGCCTATCTTTACACAAGCGACTCGAGATCGTGCATGGACAGCTGTTGCAGAAAAAGTAAACGCTGTGTCGCCCGTGCTTAGATCTATACAAGACCTGAAAAATAAATTTGCCGATTTAAAAACACGCACAAAATAAAAGGCGAATCAGTTATGTGGCGAGGTACGGAAAACTGGGGGTGGCCAGAACCCAGTGGCCAAATTGACAAATTCGGAAGAACTGTTTTGTTCTTTTATAAAAAAAGAAAGCATTGAAGGTAAAAAAAATATTGTATGAATGAATTTTATAATTTACATTTTTCTAGGCATCAAAAAAGACTTTGATATAGGAGTTCCCTCAAGGTCTTCTTACGCGTCGGAGTCAATTGAATACACGCAATCGTATTCAACTCACAGTGAAGACCTTGGAGATACAAACTATCAGTTTGAACTTATTGCACCACCATCACTGTTCACAACACCACTTACGACAGATACGGAAGAACGTAAGAGAGATTTGGAATGTGATGCTAAAATTATTATCGCATAATTTCTATACAGAAGAAGTGGTTGCGTCAGCAATTACACCAAAGCAACGCACAACTTAAAAAAAATTATAGATGTACATATTCGATATTAATGTTAATTAAAAGTTTCTTTTTGCTATAAATTGTCCATAATTTTTGGCAAATAATATTTCAACGCGTAAATCTATCTCTTATTAACACATTACGAGCGTTAACGTCGTACATGTCTTGGTCTGGGGCTCAATATCCATGGGTTCTCCTTGATGAACACAAACATTGTGCAGTACACAACACGCAATGATTATAGAACAAACTCGCTCTGGACTATATGCAAGGGCACCACCTGTCATTGATAGGCAGCGAAAGCGAGATTTTAGAGCCCCATTGCAATGTTCAATAGGATTTCTTGGAACTATATGTACAGCATTATAAAGTTCCTCTGCTTGTGTTCTAGGATTTGCTACTGGTGTCATCAACCAGTTTTCCTGAGGGTAGCCAGAGTCACCTAAAAACAATGCTTTCAACATACTTTTTTCAACTATTATGATCGTCATTTCCCCAGTAACATTTTATATGTAATCAATATTGAAGTTCTAACATTTAAATAATATGGGTAACGACAGATTTTTTTTTTAAAAATCAATATTGGTTTTAAATATTGAATATATATTTATTTTCAATGTTTAATACTTATTTAGTTCAGAACATTTAATAAATGTTCTTCATATGAAAGGGGGTATGGATATAAAAAAAACTTGTATGGAATACAATATAATATTTATTAAATACAAAAATACATTGTCACTGGAAATAACAGTGTATTTGAAACGTTGCGGCAATATTTATACATTTAAAAATTATTTGTCCTCGAACCAATTCGTTGAAAATTTGTACCGGGTGATTTTTTTTTAATTTCTGCTTTTTTTTCAGTTTCACTGCTTATGTCAGCAGTGAAACTGAAACTGCTGGCATAAGCTTCATGGGCAGAAATTTTAAAAATCACCTGATGTGAAACACAATATAAATTTTTTAAACATAAAAATACACTGCCAACTTACAATGAAATACAAATACATTGTCAATGGAAATAACAATGTTCTGCTACATTTCAATCGTTATACAGAAATATTTATTTAATAATTATTTGCTCTATAACCGATTCATTGAAAAGCGATATAATTAATTAAAATAAAAAAAATCATACCTCATGTTTTTTTCGATGAGAATTCACTCTTGCCTTTGTCTGCGCTTAATGAGGTCCTACCATTTTTTAAATTTCAGCAGTTGTGGCGTTTTTGTGACGTTTCCGTGTGGTACCTACAATTAAATTAACTTACAAATTTCGTAATTTTTAAGAAATCACATAACTTTACATATTGTAGCCTTGTTAATTGTGAGTTCACTAAAAGAGAGCTTATTTTTTCCTTCCCCTGAAAACTTGAAAGCAATTTGGTTCATTATTAATAATTTCTTCAAAATTGCATAGGTACCTACATGTTTTTTTACATCTTCTCTTCCTGGAAAATAAACATTATTATCAGTCTGAAACTAACTAGTTTATAAATACTAGGAGTTAATAATAAGAATAATAAATGCTTACCAATTCATTCAATTTCTGCGTATCTCCCGCAATTTCTAACTGGATTTCTTCTTTTTTTTTGGTTGCGCCCCGACATTCATCATTTTGTTTCTACATTCATAATGTGCTTATATTCAGGAATATTAAACCTCTTAAATATACTTACGTGTTGAGAAATTGCATTTTCTGCATTGCTTGTAGAAGTGAGGTTATGTAGAATTAGTACTGTTTTCTTGACAAAACGGTATTTACTACACTATTCTGAATTTATCGCAGTACCGATAATCACAATTCACAATAGAACAAACACCATGAATTTACAGAAAATACTTTTTGAACCACCAACAACAACAGAAAATATGTATATGTTGCACATTGCGCAAACGCGTTCCAGCAGAGCAAGCGCAAATTTAAGTAAGTTTTACAAAAATGATGAATAAAATTATTATTTTTTGTTCGCAAAAATAAAAAAAATATTACTTTTTAATGAGCAATTAATAGTGTGCAACACGATATTTCGAATAGTGTCAATTTCACAATAGCTGGTATTTTTTCAAATCAATTTTTAATATTGCTCCGATAAAAACCCTATGACATAAATTACCTACAAGTTGTCCCAACATGGTACTTTTTTTTCATTTTTGTTGTTCGGTATCTTGATAAAAAGACATTTCATAAATATGTAATATATGTTGAAATTCATATATAAATTTATAAATATAAAATGAATATTATATAAATATTTGTAATATCTAATCAACATTTAATATTATATCAATCTTATATAAATATTAGAAAAATATTGCTTGCTACTGGGGTTACCTATGAGCCATCCAGCAGGAAATACTCCTTCTAAAAACGCAGTTCTTAACGCACTGTTTCGCCATATATATGCATCGTGATTGGCTCCAGGATACGCGGCCAACACATTAAAAATTCTTAAGTCGGGCCCACAAACGAGTTGTTCGTTAATACTGTCCTGAAGGAAGCTACTCTCCCAGACCCCTACAAGGCCGCCGTCCATCACAGGTACACTTTAATTTTCCAGTCTTGCCACATTTTGCATGTAAGGATTACGAAAAAACACGGATTTCTGTCCTCTTACAGGCCTTTGTTTTTTTCCTTCTTCTTTTTGGCATTGGTTGTTTTCCCGATATCGCCGGTTCTGGTTGCCTGTTCGGCCCCAGGATTTTTACTCGCTTGACGAAGTGCTGGTCGACAGTGTCGCCTTCTGGTGCAGACGCGAAATCCCGGGCGTTCTCTAGCACCGCCCGAACTTTTGCTGAGGTGCTATTGTCTGAGGGATAAATTGAATCAAGCCGCCCTGGCTGTCCTTTCCCGGAATGACCTTTCACCACTGGGTTTAAAAATGCCAATTTGTACTATATTGAGCAGTGGGAAAAGAAGACTATAAAGAAGCGGAATACGATAATGATGAACTTTTGGCAATGGTAGATGAAGCTATTGTAAATTCTGAAAATGAAGAAGAATACACAACAGAAGAGAACCCACAAATACACATTCTGATGCCCCAAAAGCTTTTGAAACTGGTCTCAAATATGTAGAACAACAAGAAAACGCAAATCCTTTAGATATTCTTCTAATGCGAAGTTGGATGCGATTTGCTGCTCAAAATAGAATAACAAAATCAAGACAACTATCGACTACTTTTTTTTTCAATTTGTAATTTACTACATATGTACATTGTGCATTGTAGATGCACCCACAAAAACTTATATAATTTTAATAAAACTTTGATAAACATGAAAATATATTCTTTGAATAATAAATTACTGTAATAATGAATAAAATGTAATTACATTTGAAATATCCCATTATCCGATCTTTTCGATTATTCGAAAGAGGGCTGGTCCCGACGATTTCGGATAATCGGGGTTCTACTGTATTACCTTTTAAATAGTCCAAAATATCCACGTTTACTTAACCCTAAACATTTAAAACCACAACAGTCTTGTAAACTTTAACACTGGCTACAACAAACACTTAACCTAAAACTGAAAACATGAAACTAACAAACACTAAATGAACCGCTGCAAAAACACCTATCACAAACAACGAAAGAAAGTACATATTAATTCATTTCACTGCCAAACCACTCAAATTTTTACACCCTATTCTAAAAACACCAATTTAACAATACCGGTACTTGCATACTTCACAGAGGATTACCTGAAAGAGCGGCCATTTGCCGATCAGTAGTGACGCCCCCAAGGGTCACTTTTTTCGCGTATATATCCCACTACCTGTACTATTATTAAGACTTGTGTTTTTACGGTTGATTTGGATACCAAACATGAACGGAACCGGGGATATTTAATAAATATTTAAATTCAACTTTTGCCACTACATTTGCCTCGAACGTATGTCGTACAGTGGTTGATACTGCCATGGACTTCCCCCTGCACTTATATAAACGGCATGATACATAAAGGAAATCTCATATTTGCAAATGTTTCCAATCAATTGCCAAATTTTGATTTAAGAATCATCGTCAATCCCAAGCTTTTTTCTTTTCCTACATTTTTGCTAGAAAAGGAAAAACTTACCATTCTTGATTAAACCTTTTGTGTACAAGTAAAAATCACTTTCATTTTAGTACGAGCTGGGTTTGAAAAACTGTAGTGGATGTTGTAGCCAATTCGCGCATACATTTGCTCTTTGGCAGGCTCAGGGGCATGACGGTGTTCCGTGGTTGGTCTTTTGAAATTCTCTCCAACTATTAGCCTGCCGTTGCACCCTTTGTTGGTACAACGCCACTACACTGTGCTGAGGTTCACTTTGCCTCTTCTATATCTATACCCCTATGGAAGAGAATTTTCCCCCCTTTCTGCGATTTTGACATTTTATTGTGTGTGACAAAACAGTAAATATCTTTATGACGAATGTCACAAAAGCTCAGATAACTGCCCAATAGGTAATAATGCTTTCTCGATAACTTCTTTTCTGTGTACAAACACTTTATGTACAGAACTGGGCATGGATGTAAATTAATGAATAGTTTTGCTGTGTTAATAGAAAATTTTTCGAAAAGTTCCAAATTAATGTCGTAACCACTAGAGACTACCTATAGGATGATATAAAAATGTTTCATTAATGTCCCGTCAAAGCCTGTTATGTTCGCCGAAACTTGAAAATTCGCAAAAAAGCGTCGAGCAGTGTTGCTGTCATTGGAACTTCCAAACCCAGGCTTTGGCTTGTCAACTATTAATCCCAACTGCAGGCGAAATTCACGTTGAAGCTCCCTTTTTCTCTCGCCTACTGCTTTTTTCTCTTCAGCATTTCGTGCTTGCCATTTTTTAATGGAAATTTCGTAAGATAAATGCGAAGAACCTGATCCATGCATGTAGAGCGGATAGTCCAAATCTCAGAGTTTCTTTCAAAATAGGTTTTTTAAAATCTTATCAAGGTCATTAAAATCTTTACTAGTTGCTCCACATAAATAACAACGCTGCGATGACTTTAGGCCTGTTAGATTCATAATATAAGATATTTTAAAATTATTTTCGTTAAAGGTACTTTCAAATGGTAAAAGTTTATTTATTTGGTTTTCGACGTAACTTACCTCAACTCGAGTCGATTCTGTAGTTTCTTGAAGAAATTGCATTCGTAATGGTCTACAAAAACGTGGAGATGATGTTCTACGATTCTTCCAAATTATTATTTCCTTACCTAGCTTATCATCTGTATATACTAACTGCAAAGGAACTACTGATGTCAAAAATATGCTGGTATCAGAATTATCTTCTCCTTCAAAGATTTGTTTGTACTCACTATAGCCGGAACTTCCATCACATCCCCATTTTAAACAAAGCTTTAAGTTCTGTAAATCTTCAGTACTCAAGGTGTCAATAACTGTTTTTTGACTTTGTATTATACGGTGAGCTGTATGTAGTGCTGGAGTTCGACTTCAGCACTATTTTCAGAAGTTTTTATAGAAACTCGAGGAGGGTAACACAAATTTTTCGCTTCCAGTACCTTATAAGAAGGATAGAGCCTGCAATTTTGTTCCAAACTTTTTAGTCGTAGACCTTGATACTGTTAAACTTGCAGTGAAATAATAAAACCAGTATAAACAATTTCACTTAGGTTTTATTCTACGAAAAGAAAACGTACAAAAAGAAAAAGAGAGTTTTTACAGTACTGCGTGCGCGCCGCTTGATCTTACGTTATTGACACACGTCATCATTTTTTGGCAGGGACTGCTTGCGCATCAAGAACTTCTTACCGCTAAATATAGCTAGGTGTGTTGAAATGAAAGAAATGAACAATTATGAAATTAATAAACAGAAAATTATGAAATATTCATTACTTCAACAGAAACTGGATTTTCTAAAGCTTAAACTGAATTAATATGATGACTGAAATTCCTTTGTAGGTCGACCTCTAGCTGATATAGCGTTTTGTAAGATTGGAAACCTAACGGATTTATTTAGCCAATCACTGTATTTTTGAAGAAACTTTTCTTCGTTTCTACTGACAGTTTGCATCCTTTATCTCATTTTAAAAAATGATCCTTTCATGTCTTTATGAATTTCCACCGATTTTCCACTACGTTCTGATACCATCAACTTAAGATGATCTAGCACAGTGTTTTTCAATCTGTGGGTCGCGACCCCTCTAGGGGGGTCGCGAAGCCTTACTCGGGAGGTCGGCGACTGAAAATTCTAACACTACAATATAAACACAATTTTAGTGAGAAGAATGGGTTTGTTTATTTTTTGAAAATTTATCAAATCGTGGTGCTATTTTCGAAACGTTAATGATCAAATCATTTTCTAATTGCAGTCTATTTCTCTTTTTAGTTTTAATCTCTACCATGACAGAAAATGTCAGTTCACACAAGTATGAAGTGGCGAATGGCACTAATAATTTTAGAGCTTCCCTTGCCGGCTCTGGATACTCGTGTTTTCTTTTCATCCAAAATACGTCGATACTTTGGGAATAAAATTCCAATTTAAGCATGCCATCAGCAGCTAAATCTAGAAGAGATTCTTTCATATTTGTGGGGACATCAGCGAGATCTACTGACTTGTCCAAAAAAGGGTTTAAAATCCATCTTCGCCCATTGTCAGCTTCAGAGTGCAAGTCTGGAAAGTATGTCAAAAGTTTGTCTTGTAAATTTTGCAAGCTCTGTGTCATTGAAGGAATGTGAGCACTAACTACAAGACTTTGGTCTGATGCGTTCTCTTCAATAATCTTCTGAATACATGGAAAAGACTCAAATATATTGTTTTGCAGAGAGGATGACCACAAGCGAAGTTTTGCGTGAAATACTTTCACTTGATCTTTAGCTGTTAAAATATTTTCTTCTCGACCTTGGAGGTTCTTGTTCAAACTATTAAGGCGGCTAAAAATATTTGCCAAAAATGCTAATTTCAAGAGCCAAATAGAGTCACAAAAACGATTAGCATAATCAGATTTTGCATCTTGTAAGAACATTACCAATTCAGCTCTCAGTTCTAGAACTCTTGCCAAAACCTTTCCTTTGGATGATCTGACCTGACCTGACCTGACCTGACCTCTGTATGATAAAGGAGATTTTGATGAAGCGAGCCCATATCTTCACACACGATTCTGAATAGCCGGGTTTACAAGGCTTTACCTTTGATAGAATTCACAATTTGTATTACCTCATTGAGC